TGCCTGTATAAGAGACCACCTGTATTTAGAGACCACTTTTTGGACTTCTCCTGGATGGTCTGAACTTTTCATACAGGTTTGTTTGTATAATAATCTTTACGTTAAATTTACCCATACACATGGTTGAGTTAAGGCTACTTTAGAGTTAGAAATATACAATTTCAAATGCTACATTTATGTTAATTGTTACTGATTTTTTCATGCTATATTAAATCAAAGACTTCCCAGCATATTAGTACAGTATTTAAAAATCTATATAATAAGACTTAATCAATTGTACCAACATTGAGATTTATAATAGATACCTGCAGTTACACTGTGATATATTAAGAAACCTTTCCTTACATTCATTGTAAGAGAATATCTGGAAAGTACTGCCAGAATGTATGATCAAATAAATATTATTGGACTTAACGTACCAAGTATGTTTACGATAAGGTATTTCATTGAGCCCCGCTGAGATCGTGTATGTATATTATATTCACGGACTGCTTACATGAAAGGTGTAGGCCTTTATAATATTTATCCTGCCTGCATAAAGAATTTGAAAGGTAATCAGGTACATCTCATCCAGATATAAATATTAACTATAAAGGATAGATAAGTATATATAAAATACCACAGGATTCCCCACTGGTCTGAAAGAGGCTTTGAATCCATGTACAGAGTTCAAAGGGTAAAGTGGTGCTGGGGGAGATTATAGGGGAGCTAGGGCAGTAGCATGGTGGTCCTGTAGGATAAACAGGGATCGTCTCAAAATTAATCCTGTAAATCAAACAGCTATTATGGTGGTAAGGGATTGTCTCAAAACTAATCCTGTAAATCAAGCAGCAAGTTTGTATGGTGGTAGTTCTGTAGGATAATCGGGGATCATCTCAAAACTAATCCTGTAAATCAAACAAGACTGAATTGCCTGCAATATTGTCAAGGATTGTCTCCAAAACTTATTTTGTAAATCAAACTGTAATCAACATAATATGTAAGCATTGTTGTGCAATAAAGGATTGAAGGGTACCAAAGTTGGTAGCATTTTCTACAAAACACATAGGGGATAGCTAGAGGTCTTAAACAGGAGACCATTCTCAGTAAGAATCACCGGTACAATTTTGATAAAATGAGGCATACATGCATACATCTATAAAGAAACAACCATCTCCAGTAAAAAAAATATGGATATGTAAAATCAAAACGCATATGATATAAGATTGAAAGATCAGGGCATGCCATCAACAGACGATGGAAGCCACAAGTATCAAACAGGCAGTCGTCCATGGTGGGGATGCTAATTGGACTGTCATTGTAGCAGGTCGTAGATTTGTCCCGTCACAGATTTGATCAGGGCAGTAGCTCCACTGATGATAGGTGTGAACGTCTAACAGGAACCACCAACAATTGGTATATCAAATGTCTTACCGGCCTTTCTATTTCTGTGTTTTATGAGAGGGAAAGGTGAAATCGTTTGCACCTGAGAGAAGAATTTGTGTTATTTAAATGCTAATGTGATGGTGTGTTTCCTGATATGTGTTAGCTGATCCTATCGCCTTACTGAGGAATGTCAGAGTCGCACCTGACCTAGTTAGGAGGGTTACAGAGAGAGTACCAACCCTCCACGAATCCATGTCTAGTGCATTGGTGATATAATTGCTACCTGGAGATATTTCTTCAGGTCCACCTTCCAATTATCTCACTTGAATGTGAGCCTCTGACAAAATAGCGGTAATTAAAATGAGACTTGGCTGGTATCACTTCGATTGATTAGGCAACTGAAGATGGAAAGCGTACATGTATACGGAGAGAGTATCGGTAGAAGCATGCAAATTATTTTCCAATTTTGTATCATTTTCACAGTAATCTGTAAGTTTGTGTATTACAGGCAGTATTTCCACGATACCACAGCTATTTATTACTCTTGTGTTCACAATCATTGGGGAAGAGATCATTTAGAAGGATTTTTTTTATGATTTCAAGATCGAGTTATCCGCTGTAATACCGACTGTATGGTACTGTTCATGTAGGAGATGTACACGTTTCACAGCTCAGAGGCAAAAAAACAGGACATTGCAGCATGTGATAGAGCAACAGCTGAAACCTATTAGATGTAATGCAGCTCAGGTGTGCTGGGCACTATGCTAGGGGTTACATGGGGGAGGGGTCAGGGTGTTTGTGGAGGCTACATGTAGTAACAGTCAAGAGTAATAGACTGCTGGGGGGTACATGGGGAGGGGTCAGGGTGTTTGTGGAGGCTACATTTAGTAACAGTCAAGAGTAATAGACTGCTGGGGGCTACATGGGGGAGGGGTCAGGGTGTTTGTGGTAACAGTCTAGTAATAGACTGAGTGTCGTTTAGGGAGAATCTACCTACTGTATGTTTAGTTGCTGACCCTAGAGATTATGTATCCATTTTTAGATGAGCTTTATTGGTAAAGTCAAGAATTGTGCTTCATAGATAAAATGTAAAAAAAAAAACACCCAGCATTTTATGATACAAATGAAACCCTAGCTATCTAAGCTAATTTTTGTGGATATACACAGAAATAAGTTTTGTTTGGCCTAATGTATTGGAAGTTTATATTAGTCAAGGTAATTTGCTAGTGCTAATTTAGTTTCCATTTCACAAAATGGTGCATTAATTAAGGCCTGAGCTGGTTGTCTGTACAACCTTCAACAAATTTAATGTGTTCATTCAGTTACTACATTAATTATTACTTATACAAAATACCAGTAGTCTAGTTAATTGTAAATGATGATAATGACTTAATCTTTGGCAATAATGAAAGATGTTATGATGTATCCGGGAAATATTTAAATGTTTCTACTGCTCAAATATCAACAATGTCGGACTATAGACAAAGGTTTTACCTCTGGCACCGGGAAAACAAACCCTATTCTCCACTTATCATATGACTAGATACAGGGGGCTTAGCTTGGGGCAGTAATGCCTTGTCAACCAATGACCTCATCAATTCTGGACAAGCCATATGCTTGACCTTGAGTTGTGATGATTTACTTTGAAATGCTGTTACTCTGGACAACAATATTTGTAAATCAACCTCTCCATCAGAGCTATCTCACGAGATTGAGCGGGAGACACCATGCCTTAGCTTTTGTTTCATAATTACTAAGTTCTTTAGATATTTTCATGTTAACTCGTGAGGAGATATTTTCATGTTAATTCGTGAGGAGAAATGAATTTTATTTTGATTTGGACACACTCATCAGATGGTCATTGTTCCTTTTGCAAATTTAAAATCCGCATGAATGTATGGTTTGAAGAAAAAAATCCAAATGTAGGGAAACATGAAAATGAAGTGTATTTACAGTAGTATAAATCATAGCTACAATAATAATCCCTTTATAACCTTCACATATCTGGGCTTTGATTACTCCGAAGAAACGGTGTTTGAATTTATTTTCTCTTTATACCTAATAGAATTTGACAATTAAGGCTACACACTGCCTTACACATTATACCTGTGGTTTGTGTTAGAGTTATGTCCCTTGAATGGTTTATGATAAGTATGTGGTCTTAAGTACATTTTTAAATGTCTTGTTTATTTTTGTAGTCTCCGGAATCTTTGATTAAGGGACTGTATAGGAAACAGCTGGTTTCTGTGTTCAAGATTTTATGAGCATTACGGAAACATTAAAGAAATTGTAAGCTCACGTACATTGCCATTGGTTTTTCCTGGTTAGATGTATACGTAACATATGTGTTAGAAGAATCCTGATTCCATGTTGGGGAACTTGTAAAGACGTGGAAACTGATTTTGTTTGGCGGTATCAGAAAAGGAAGCCAAACTCAATGATAAATTATGAATTCAAAACATCAATCAGAATCTTACAAGTGTTTGACTTGCATTAACAACCTCACAGCTCATATTACCCAAACTTGCATGTACATTATCATTGTGAGCCTCATGAATGATTCAATATAAACTCTAATTATGCCACGATACAGATCTTTATGAAGCATGTAACATGTTGTATCTGCCTAAAAATACCATATTTGTGTCATCTCTAATTATACTCATCAAACGCATATTCACACAAAAAAATTACATTGCATCACCATTTTCTGCCGTTATAGTAAATATCAATGTTCAACCTCATAAACAATAGTAAATACTGTGGTACATGTCCACAATCGCAACTGTATGAATGATCTTTTCATGTGTTCACGTACATATGTCACAGGTTAAATACCTATGACTCGCAATATCTGTTGACAAACCACAAATATTGCAGAGCCATTTTGTATCCCTGGGACAATTCTCGGTTAAATTAGCAAAATGTGTTTTACCATGCCATAAAGATATTTGATTGATTTCTAAGAGTGGAACTTATGAAATATAAATGCAATATAAAATTATTAAATTAAAAAAAAAAGCATTCAAATGTACCATACACCCTTAAAATAAATAGAATAACCACAATAAGTAACCTCAAGAAAACCTATTAATGACTTTATAAGACGATGATTATCAACGTTGACTAGATATTGTTACGTAGTTGTTAAATCAGAACCAGATTATGGATAGTTCTAGACACATTTATTCAATATTTTGAACTGCAGATAGGGGAAAGCTTTGCACCTCCTGTGTGGTAAACACAACTGAAAGTTTCATATGCCTGAAATATCATCTAGAAGACACTTGTCAGCTTTGATTGTTAGTGGTACAAAGGTATTCTCTAGATTTAGAGCTTGAATCAATATCATTCTGTGTTTTCTATTGATTTCTGTACTAGTGCAAGTCTGACAGAAAGTGAGGATAATCATTGCAGTTTGGTTCACGTCCTATCTAAGTCAATTCCACGTGTCAATAGATATGGGTATTAAACATTCCGCACAAATTTTTCGGTTGATTTTCTTGTGTATCAAAACATTGACCTTGAATGAATACTGTTGATTTTTTTATTGATTCTTATGCATGTCAAACATTTTCTTAGCCTTGATTCTTATGAAATGGTTTTATTGACCGTGTGTCTTGTTTTCTCTGCAGGTTTGATGGACTAGATGTGTGCACTGGTGTTGAGTCGATGTTGTGAAGACATGTTATCAGGATGAACAAGTCATCCACTATGAAGATTACAAACTTATGTTACCTTCTGCTGTTGCTACAGGTCTTATCCACTGTAGTACTGTGTAAGCAGACAAACTATATCGTAACGACGTTCCCTAACCCCCACCAACAGGAAACCTTTATCAACATGGTGCGCGATGTGGGCAGCGGAAAGCTTTTCGTCGCTGCGGTTAACTATCTATACAAGTTTTCCTCCGATTTGAAATTAGAACAAGAGGTGGTAACGGGACCTAAAGAAGACAACCCAAATTGTCTTCCACCAACAAGAGGGACGTTCCATTGTAGATTGCCGATTAGTCTATGGGAGAATTACAACAAAGCATTAGTAATCATGGATAGTGAGATTGAGTCCGAGAAGCGACTCATTTCTTGTTCTACTCTTTTTCACGGATACTGTGAAAAACGCTGGCTGTCCAACATTAGCGAGATGGACGAAATATTATACAAACCGGTGGTGGCGAACAATCGTACGGCCACGACAGTGGTGTTCATTGGCCCGGGCCCAACTAGAAACAACGTTATGACTAACTCCCTGTATGTTGGGGCATCGTGGACAAACACAGGCCAGCGTGGGGTTCGTGACCTCGTCAACGCATTCAGTAGTCGGCGCTTGGACGATTTCAAGTTGACCTGGGAAACCTTTCAGGACAAGTCTGGCAAATCTATTGAACAGCTGCACCGCCAGTCTTTCCCAATCTATTACATATTCGGTGTTTCCACAGATGATTTTAGTTATGTTGTCACTGTCCAGAAATCCAGCACTGATCCTAAGGCCCAGTTTATCTCCAAGCTGATTCGTGTTTGTAACCAGGATGCCAAATTCCGGTCATATACGGAGGTGGAGCTGCGGTGTAACTATAAAGGCGTAACTTACAATCTAGCCCAAGCCATGTACCTGATCAAACCGGGGACGGTCCTGGCCGAGGCCCTGGGTATCAATCTCACAGAGGATGTGTTATTTGGTGTGTTTTCCAGTGGTTCCCCAAACCAGGCTGCGTCTAATGCCAGGGAATCTGTCATGTGCATATATCCGATGAAGGAAGTCCGCAGAATGTTCACCGAAAATATACGCAAATGTTTTAATGGGACAGGGATGACTGGACCAGATTACATCGTCATACCTAACCAGTGTTTAAGCTCGGTAAACATGTTTTACTTATACAAACTCCATATTAGCTAGTGTAATTTGATTGATGAAGTTTTCTTTTTGTCTTATTTTCTAGATTTAGTTGTTTCATGCAAGTTTCAAGCTGAAAGCAAGAAAACAGTTTCTTATTATTAGCTAGGAACTTAACTTTGCTTTTTTTTTGGTCAAAAGGAATGAATTTTCAATGAGAATTATTAAATAGCACATACACATTTGATTACCTAGGGTAATGAAGCTTTAAATTCAATTATGATGCAATTATATTCCAGGCCTTTTAGATTGAAAATATTATCCCCGCCAACAGCAACAACGTTAAATGTACAATAACTCATATCCACAACAAAGCAGGTAGCTGTCTTCATCATGAAATATTGTATTTTTTGATTTAACAAGAAGTTCAATGCACAAATTTATTTGGGTAATACATGTAGTAAGAAAATGAGTTCTTTTGTTATAAATGTTGGCTTCAATTGTATTTCTTCTGAAGTTGAATAGATTGAAAAAATCTGATATTACCTGTTCTGTGACCATTTGTATTGTTGATTCAGCCCTACCTCAAAGATATAAACGATGGTTACTGTGGAACACTGGATTTTAACACACCAATCAATGGCCAGGATCCAATCGTGGCCAATGCTGCTCTCATCATCAACAAGGCCATCTCGACTATCATCGTGACCACCACCCACAGATACACTGTCGCCTTTCTGGGTTCCCAAGATGGTCATATAATCAAGGTAAGTAAAACCTGGACTAATCTTGTTCTTGTAGCGTTTGCCGATCATTGTACAATGAAACCTGCACAAACAAGGCATTCCCTTGTCCTGGTGACGTTTAGCGACCCCCTTATCCTGAAACCTGCACAAACAAGGCAGTCTCTTGTCATGGCGTTTGTCAGCCCCCTTATAATAAAACCTGCACAAACAAGGCCTTCCCCTGTCCTGGTGACGTTTACCGGCCCCCCTTATCCTGAAACCTGCACAAACAAGGACTTCCCTTGTCCTGGGGACGTTTAGCGGCCCCCTTATACTGAAACCAGCACAAACAAAGGCATTCTCTTGTCGTAACGTTTAGCGACCCCCTTATCCTGAAACCTGCACAAACAAGGCCTTCCCCTGTCCTGGTGACGTTTACCGCCCCCCCTTATACTGAACCCTGCACAACCAAGGCATTCCCTTGTCCTGGGGACGTTTACCGGCCCCCCTTATCCTGCACCCTGCACAACCAAGGCATTCCCTTGCCCTGGTGACGTTTACCGGCCCCCCTTTTACTGAAACCTGCACAAACAAAGGAATTCCCTTGTCCTGGTGACGTTTACCGGCCCCTCTTATACTGAAACCTGCACCAACAAGGCAATCCCTTGTCCTGGTGACGTTTACCGGCCCCTTTTATACTGAAACCTGCACAAACTAGGCATTCCCTTGTCCTGGAGACGTTTACCGGCCCCCTTATACTGAAACCTACACAAACAAGGCATTCCCTTGTCCTGGTGACGTTTACCGGCCCCCTTATACTGAAACCTGCACAAACAAAGGCATTCTCTTGTCGTGACGTTTAGCGACCCCCTTATACTGAAACCTGCACAAACAAGGCATTCCCTTGTCCTGGTGACGTTTAGCGACCCCCTTATACTGAAACCTGCACAAATAAAGGCATTCTCTTGACGTGGCTTTTACCGACCCCCTTATAATAAAACCTGCACAAACAAGGCATTCCCTTGTCCTGGTGACGTTTAGCGACCCCCTTATACTGAAACCTGCACAAACAAGGCATTCTCTTGTTGTGACGTTTACCGACCCCCCTTATACTGAAACCTGCACAAACAAGGCATTCTCTTGTCATGGCGTTTGTCAGCCCCCTTATAATAAAACCTGCACAAACAAGGCATCCCCTTGTCTTTGTAATGTTTAGAAACCCCTGTAGACCCGAACCTGTATAAACCAGGCATCCCCTCCTCCCTGTGTTATTTACATACCCCAGTATACAGAAACCTATATAAAGAATACATTCTCTAGATCTGGCCCAAGTTATGTTTAGGGCCTCCTCATACTGGAACCTGTATAAATAAGACACCATCATCATAGTGGAGTCTATAAGGGGAAAAGTCAATCCTTGGTAACTTTAGTTCTTTAATTTATGCATTTCTGGCAAAAATTTGACCTAGAATTGCATAACGGCAGAGAGAATATGTTGAATTTTGAAGGTGACAGTATGATGGTCTAAATACTGTTTATAACTAGATAGAGATGAACAAGAGGTGTGGACTTCGGAATGCCGACTGATGTTTACACAGGAACATTATGAGTAAAAGCCTATGTAAAGGTATGGCTTTATATTGCTTTGTACACATGTTGATGCAGCCGGAGGCCTGACTTCAGTCTGTACATACAGTACGACTTAATGGTATTACTGCAGGTCTCTTAAAATATACCACAAAGGTGGTTAACACACCATTAATATCTACACGAGGATAAACACACACTATCTCCGCCATATCACTGATACCATTCTAATAAAAACACTGTCAATCTCCATACTCAAATCAAACGGTTGTCAGACCTACCATTAATAGAATTAGTCACACCATAGCCAGATCAGCCCTAACCCTTGGATACACACGGCTAAACGATGCAAACATGACCACCATAAGTAGATCCGCTGTACAGGTGATAACTGCTAATGAAATTGATGAATTAATTTGCTTTTAAGTGCCTCAGGTGATCGTATACCCAGCATCAGGCCTACAACTCTGCTCTGTTGTCAGGGGACAGGAAGCAGATTTTTATTTCCTTCCACATAAAAGAGCTCGGAGATTGATAATTTATTAGGTGTCATTTGTATAACAGGTAATGGATGAGGGTTTGTTCTTTTCGCCGTTACTGGTTGTTTTAGGGGCGTGTCATCAATTATAAAAAAAAATGATACAGTTAACTTAAAAGGTGAAATGTATATTTATTGCACATGTTTGGTTACTTTAACCCACAAAAACCTGTAAATGCATTTCATATGTCGAGATTTTCCCCCATACAAAGTATATTGACCAGAAAAAAAACATGTTTAATCAGATTTAGCGTGACAAAATATCTGCTAGCTCAAAAAGAAATTCGCATCTCCGGATGTTGGTCTTTCAAAGTGTTTGAGGAAAGACGGAAGAGTCAAAATACTCTGGAACGGAAATGACACCAATAGATGAAAGGAGTGTAATAAAGAACCGAGAGCTGAAGACGCTGTTTGTCAACTCATGTGATCAATGAGGAGGACATCTATAAAAGGAATTACCATCGCTACTGAAATCTCCTCCAATTTGAACAGCACAAAATTTTGTAGGGAGCTGTGAAGTGTGTAGCAAATTAAAACGAAAACAAATCTGATTGTAAATGACTATTGCTATCAGTATAAAGGCCACTTACGTTGATCGAAATCTAATGAAATGTGAAATAAAAAAAAATGTTATGGCAAACGATTCATGCATTATCTGTATAGAAAATCAGTTAATTGGCTAGCCGTTAAGGTGTTTGTCAAGTAATAGCGTAAATGGATCGCAGGTGACATTATACAGGTGTTGTGTATTGATTGGATCGGTGATGATCTTGGAGATGGTCATGGCAGGATACCAGTCACACGCTAGTAAAACACCTACAAATTATAGTCGTACAGCAGGGTCCTTAACGATACACTAACTTTTACCGCTTAATGGCATGCTGTTAGCATGAAATGCAATAAAAAATATTTTAAAAAAATAAATAAAAAAAAAGTGATACATGTTCACATATTTAAAATATGTTATGCTATTAGCATAAGAGGCAACATACATACAAAGTTAACTGATAACAATATAAAAAAATTGTCATTAAAAAAGTTTAAATGTAGTTGTAGCTACTCTTTACACTTATGTTGGAATAATCAATGTGTTTCGCAAGAACATCTTTAAATGTTGGAATAATCAATGTGTTTCGCAAGAATATCTTTAAATGCTTCTTCAGTTAAACAAACAACATTCTAACATAAATCGTGTTAATGTATATATGTAGGAAAATGATAGAATAACCAATGTTGTGTCGTCTATATTCCTTTACTTAGCAAACATACAAGTTTAATAGTTAACCTAGAAAGCGACAGAATATTTAACCTTGTCAGTGTGTCACAGAGCAGGACATTATGATGACATTCCTGGCTGTCAGAAAGGAAAATAGACAAAGTGCTCCTAGTGGATGGCAGATATTTCTTGTCGGTATACATACACATAGTACAGCTGTAGGAAGGAAAGAGAAGGGAAGAGACAAAGTAGGGGTGAAGGTGTGGATGAAATTGGGTGTTGGACTGGGTTAGGGATGAGGGTGGGGTTTGGGACTGTGCCTGGGGTCAGTGTTAGGACTTTGGATAGGGGAGGAAGGTGGGGTTTGGACTTTGGTTGGGGTGAAGTTTTGGTTGGATATGTGGGTGGGGGTGGGTGCATGAAGATTAGGATTGGACTTTGGGTAGGGGTAAAGATGGGGTTTGGACTGTGGGTAGGGGAACTGTGGGTAGGGGTAAATATTGGGTTTGGACTGTGGGTAGGGGTAAAAATGGGGTTTGGACTGTGGGTAGGGGTAAAGATGGGGTTTGGACTGTGGGTAGGGGTATAGATGGGGTTTGGACTGCGGGTAGGGTTTGGACTGTGGGTAGGGGTATAGATGGGGTTTGGGCTGTGGGTAGGGGAACTGTGGGTAGGGGTGGGTAAACATTGGGTTTGGACTGTGGGTGGGGGTGAAGATGGGGTTGGGACTGTTAGTTAGGCTGGGGTTGCATTGGCTGTCGATGGGTTGAAGTAAGGGGTTGTTGGGACTGTGAGTGTGGCTGGGTTGGACTGGTAAAAGTAGTATTGTTGCAAATGGAATGAGGATGGCAGGGACCTCAAATGTTTGTTGAATGAAAATCTCAGCTGGACCTGACTACCTACATACTTATGTATACAACCTATATACATACCGTAACACGGACATATTGGCTTTGTGTATGGGAAAATGGTGAATAAGAACAGCATGTAGTTATTTTGTCCGACTTTCGTTGAAGTTTGAGGACTAGTTATGTAGCCAGTTGTGTGTGTAATGGGTGCTGACAACTGCAGTAATGAATGGGTATTCTTGGTTGGAATGTTTTTATATCTTACACATGTAGATTACTGTATATCTAATGGCCCACTGCTGGGGTCACACACTCGTCTCTATTACACCTGTAGACTACTGTACAGCCAATCACAATCACTTCCGGTAAATTCGACCTGTTGACACAAACACAGCTAGGCTTATCAGTCTACTTTTTTCCTGGTGAAATATAGTGTTTTTTTTCACGATTGTTGATAATAAAAAATATCAAACAGTTTCTGGAAATATCAAAGTTATTTCATAAAACAAAAGCAGCATTTCTAGAAAATAAAACTGGATCTTTCCTTCAGTTAATTGATAGATATTAATTTTTGATATCATTTGATCAATCAGAAATGAGCATTTTGAAACAGTGCAAATTTTGTTGTTTTAAAGCTGTCAGATATATATATATAAATTAAAACAATAGGTGACTGGACAGAAGTTGGAAGCCTGAAATTATGGTCAGTTTTAAAAGGCTGTATTACATCTGTTAATAATATACATATAAATGTACATATAAATGGAGCGCATGCATGTCAAAGGTCATACGTATGGATGAACAGAATATTGATACAAAGCATACAAATACAAAGAATATGCATAGAAAAACA